CCTTAAGGGCCGTTTACACTGGAGTTTATCTGAGCAAACTGAGTCGATTCAAAGTTCCAACAGGCTGAAAAGCACTTAACCCAGTGAGCCAGCTGTTCCGTTGATGGCAAAAAGAAAGAAAAAAAGTCGATTCAATATGTCGACTAGCTTCGCTATACGTGCAAATCAGATTTTTCAACAGACTCCATTATTAAGCAAAACATTTACTTTTGACACAGTGGAGTAGTGTCAGTTGTGACAGATGTTTCCGTTAGCCAATTAAAACCTAATATAAACGGTCCTTTACAGGTGACAATACAAATTTATTTAAAAGAAAATAAAGGACGATACGAATTTGTTTGAAGCAGAGTTCAATTATGTTTTAGTTTTGAAAACGAATCCCCCTCGGATGCAGATCCAAAAGACTCCTACTCCTCTTTCTATAACATCAAACCACTCGAAAGAAATTTCGGCTCGCCATGTATTTTAAGTGTTTTTCCCAAACCTCAAAGATATTACGCATTTACTAAAATACAAGCCTCCTCAGGGGTTCGAATCTGAGTCCAACAGCACAGCAACCAGGAACATTAACCACTATGTCGATCAGTGAGGCAATTATATTTTATGATGTGTTTTGTTGAGACAATTAGACAGTGTTATTTCTTGAATTTCATCAAGCATTCAACATGCCAAATGATTTGACTTTAGAGTAAACCAGAAAGATTTTTCTGTTTTTTAGTATTACAGTGAAGGGAAGAAGATTTTTTGCTTACGCCACTCAGTTTGTCAACTACACATAGCAGTTTTTAACAAATGATACTTCGCATCTGTTTTTATATTGCTGTTTCTTAATTGGTTAGTAATGACCGAACAGGCAATAAATTGCCAGCAAAATTTTGTAGTCATCGGACTGTCAAGTGAGAAGTTGATGCATGTAACAGATTGGAATTTACATATTAAGTTCATTAATAGAGAAAAAAAAGGTGTTCTTACCTTCAGAAAAATGACTGTTCGACGTGACTTGAGCCATTATAACAAATTTTAGAACATCCGAAGTTCATTTTCAGGTCAAAAACTGTTCAGCTGTTGTTCGAAGTGGTCGGGGGAAGAGGAGAGGGCGGCGCTTCTGACAATTAAAGCACTATGATTAACGTTTAAAGTTTATGTCAATGAAAAACGCTAAGACCATTAACAATTCGGTGGAGAGTAATTACCGAAGCTAGGAGTTGTTCTTCATTAATACGAAGCATTTTTGAAAACACTGTCTCAAGAAGGGAAAAAATCCCTCTCTTGACAGCAAAAAAGTACATTTTTAACACAGATTGTTTGAATGAAAGGATTAAATACAATATACTCGGTAAACGTTTTTTTTTTTTCAGTAAAAATGTTGCTCCAGCAGTCTTGTAGTCATAGATTAAAGCCACTTAAATAATTATTTATTACTTCTGTTCAGTGATTGTTAAAAATCTCATTTTTCCCTTTAAAAGGGGACAAATTAGAATTTGCTTATGTTTTTATATTCTAATTTCTGCAATCGACAGAAGAAAAGATAGATGTACTATGAATACTGAATTAGAGAAATTTTTAGTATTTTACAAAAGATTAGGTGTGTATGTGTATTTAATTATGGCAAAACACACTAGGGCTATCTGCCTAAGGGGAGGGATGCCTTTCATGGAGGACTTTCTAAGGGAAACTGGCTCGTATACACGTTACACATGGGGAAAACTACGAAAACGCCCATGCAGCCAGCCCGTTCGCGGGATTCGAACCTCGGACCGAACTACCAGTGCTCAGCGTCTTTACCGCTCGGCCGCTGGTGGGCACAACAAAAGATTAGGATGGACTCTGTAGGAAATGCAAACAATCAATGCACACCAAAATATAAATAAACTTAATGAATTAAAAGTTATAATGATGCACTGAGTTGCTGGAAATTTTATTTAAAGAAAACTTACAAAGCACTACATTAGTGCTACCCAAGTGTTTCTATGTCACAGCACACCTCACAAGCATAAATCATTTCGTGACACATTTTTTTTATCAACAATTTTTTAGCAACATGATTAATTCTTCTATTTCATATTAGATATTCAATAAATAAGATCCTACAAATATTTGTGCATTCTAATGTGAAAACATTCCAGCAAGACATTCGCATCAGATACGCCTTTTTTGGTCCCCTTACCCAGAGATCTTCAGACATAGTTTTTATATTGCATCTAGGAATTACATTGTTAGATTTGACTAAATGAAATTTTGATTAACATTTAGAACGCTTATTTTATAAAATTTGAGGTGGTCACAACATGACTTCTTTGTACGGCCTATTAAATTATACACTTTTTTTGCTATTTTAATTGCAATTTTTTTTTACTGTATTTGGGAGTTTAGGTTTTCCTGTGTTTTACAATTTTTAATGAAGATATTTTGAGTTTTAATGTACATTTGCCACGGAATTGATTTAATGATAAATATATCTGTAATAAAAGTCTAGAAAATAAGTGTAACTGAAATGCACCCAAAATGTGTATAATTTAACTGGCCGTACATAGAAGTTATGTTGTGTTCAAGCCAGATTTTTTAAATCCTTTTCCAAAGAGTAATACCGTATGTTAGAGGTATTTTGTCCTGGTATTCAAACCACTTTTTTTAGTAACTCTTGTTTACTTCTTTTCTAAGATTATTAAATGAGATTTAAAACAATTTTACTCCGATATTAAAAAAAATTAACCTTTAGTGTTAATATATCTAATGATGCCTATTAATGATTATAATTTTATTCTAATTTTGCAGGGTTTTTCAAATGAAATAAAACAAGTTTTATGAGAAGGTCGAATATCAAAACAAGCGATTTTCATCACAGAATACATGCTCGTAGCATACATAATAATAAATCATACATACATACTTCACAGCATGCATAATATTAAATGGTTTGGCGCTAAACTTAATTAGCTGCCTTCCGCCATATGTTTGATCGTTCTTTACTCTTACGAATTTCATTCTCTCAAATTAAGCAAAAAGTCTACTTAAATATCCATAATACAAAAATGAGGTAAAAGGCTTATTGAAAACTGTCTTGCGCTTAAGATTTAATAAGTACTATCTGCCACAAGTAGAGGTACAATTATTCATCATATATTTATTAAAACAATGATTTAGGACATAAAGCTATTACAATAGAATTTCATTACAATTTAAAGTTCAGAAATTAAATTGAGAATATATATTTTGATGTAAAAATATAATAGATAAGCATAATGAGATAAATATAATAAATACTGGAAACACAATGTTATAATGAATTGTACTAAAAATTCTAAAAATGTACCCAAGGGGTCAAATCTTTTAATAATAACACCAAAAAAAAAAAAAAAAGCACTGTGAATAAAAATTTGAGGTCTCAGGGATTTGAAAATGCAAATATTGGGAATACAGAAAATATTTTTGTCGAGAAACCAATACAATTTTACAAAAGAACAAGTATAATAGTTTATAAAATTCGCAAGTGGAATCCTTTCGAACATATTCACAAGATGTAAAAGCTCATGAAATATAGTACACAAAAAATTAATATAAACTGACTTATTAGTTTATTTAGACCTTCTTGCTAAAGATTTATCCTAGAAACCAGTCTACTCCAGTGATTCTACCATACCAATTACTGAATTTTTTATTCGCACAGTTATTTTTCTATGAATTTATATTTCCTGTTGTTCGTTCTTTGATAAAACAATTTACGTATCTCGCTTCTCTTGCTTGTTTCTCCTTAGATTCTTGAATGATGCCTTTTAAACGATCTTAATTAAAAAAAGCATGTGGTATTATTATTGTAAATTCCTGTTCTTCTCAACAGTTTTTGAAATTAGAGTTACAGCTTCCTAAAACCGTCATGAATACCTTCAGGTTCAGCCAGTTTAAATATGCTTAGATTTTACACTGCAATTTATTTTATGTTTTCTCTTCTTTTTGAAATAATACAGACTGGGGATAAAAACAGCCCCTACCCCTAGACAGATCCTAGCTAAACTCACCTGGTCAAAAAAAGTCATAAAAACAGAGGTACAAAAAACTACGTGAAGAATTCAGTGAGATGCCTTTGCCAAAGAATTGCAAAAGGGGAAGCTCGTAGCAGGCAGACAACTTGGTTTTCGTGCGGCAAACAGTACTTGCGATAATACTGCTAAAAGTGGTTTGTCATAACAGTAAAAACAGAACATATCAATAGGAAAATTTAAAATTTTTTTAAAACTAAAAATTAAGTGCATAAATCTGTACCTCACCCACCAATTTTCTAATTACAGTAATACCGTTCAAACCCATAACTAGCTGTAACGCAAAATACGAGTAGTTGCTGGTTTATGATAACAAATCTAAGATCTCACAATCATTAGGTGTAAGAAAAACAGCTTATTGCCTTACGAGTTATTACGACGTTAAAAGTTAAAATAAAACTCAATATCAGTTAGCTATTTAATCAAAATAAAAGTGGGGATTTTTTTTTTAAATTACAGATAAACATTTATTATTCTATAAGGTCAGGATGAAACTTAAAAACAAATTTCCTCAAAAGCAGGTATTTTATAGTCTTTTTATTTTTGAAAGGGGAAATATGCTTGCAATTTTTTAACCAAAATATTTCAGATTTTTTAAGTGATATTTATGCTGTTATATATATCTTAAGAAGAAGAACAATATTCCTACGAAAAAGCATCTTTAATAATCATACATCTTTTTGAAAAAGTATTTCATAAAATCCTTTTGAAAAGTTTCCAACCGAAGTCGGTTATAGTTAAAATATAAGTTTTCAGAAAGTACATAAATTTGAAAAATTTTTCAAACCGAATTTTTATAAGGTATTTTTAAAGCTCATATTATTTTACAATGTAAGTCTTATATTTAAAGTTAAATATACGGCATTTACATTTAATGTCATATATTTAAACAATGTGCTTGTTAAAATTCATATATGTCTAGATATTTTAAGCAAATCATTGCTAAATCTGAATATCTTTCAGGTGCTGTATTCTTACTACTAGCACTTGGAAATGTTTCTGGAAGTCCTGAACATGAGGTATAGTATTTTTTTTTTTAAATTTCTGTTTAAATGAAGAGTTTCATTGACATTAAATTTGAATAACGTAGGGGGAAGTCGAATATTAGACTGCAAACAGTATATTGGTTATCTAAAATGCATATTTAGAGCTAAACAGAAAAATAAGGAGAGAGGAGAAAGCAGTATAAGAAATTCATTTTCATGCAGATGACATTTTGTGTGAGCAAATTATTAAAAATGACGGCAGTTTCTATCATGTGTAGAAGACACACATGGAAGAAGATGTTTATAATTAGGAGCAGATTTCAAATGCAAGAGGCATTTATTTATGGTGTATTGTTATGTAAAATCCTATGGATTTGGACAGTGCCTCGATGTCGAATTTGTGTAGTGTGGGCAGATGAACATTTTGCTGGAAAACGCGTCACCTTGCTACCAAAGGCCGGTTGGTCCAATCGATCTATCATCCAGCATAACGGTTGGGCTTCTTGACAGTCCATTTGATATTAGAGCCAATTATTAGTGGAAGGAACAATCCTTCAATAGCAAACAATCTGTATGGTTTAAAGGATAATTTAGTGATAGAGCAAGTACGAAAATCTATCACAAAGCCAGCACCGATAACGTCATACTCCATCCTTCATAAGCTTATGAAGCCTGCAGATCGGAAACGCTTACGCAAATAGTCACTTGAAGAGTTTTCAAAAAGCATTACATTACAAATGGCTGCCTCGACTCTCACTGACCAGCGAAATGTATGTAAGAAGTTGTGTCTGCAGTGGAACCCCCACCATTCAATATTCTTAGTACATCTATCTTTTCTTCTACTGATTAGAGTAATTAGAAGAACAAAAGTACTAAAACTCTATATTGCATCCTTTTGTGGAACAATGAGATTGTTAACAGTCATTGAGCAGAAGTTATAAATAATATTTTAATCTATGAATATAAGACTTCTACAGCAACAGTTTTGCTACAGTGGAAGGCCTTAAAAGCTCTTAAATGCCTTCAGAAATATTTTATTTGATTACGGTCTGAACACCGCTCAGAATTTGTCTTTATTCTTAAACATCACTTATCTGTGTACTAGCTATGATTGCCTGAAGAAAGTTCTTTTTAGCCGTCAGGCAGCTTTGATCCTCCTCGGTAAAAGCTTGGTACTGTAGGAGTCATTAATTTTTTTTGACGCTGGAGACGTGAAAAATGTGCACTGCCCTTGCGAGTAATCGAACGACGAACCTCCTGAATACGCTTCGAGTGTGCTTCCACTTACACCACGAAGGCATGCGAAAATGATGGAGAAAATACCTTACAGCATAAAAGTATGTCGACAATATTCTAAGCGTAGTTTTCAATTCAGAATCAGAATCACATAAGGATCCAAACCAGAATCACACAGAGATCAGAATTCAAATCAGAATAGAATAGAATTCACATTTTGAAGTCCCATGATTATAGTCCTGATTCCCATGATCATATCAAACTCAAAATAAAGTAAAGTGATTCAAACAATACTCTTATATAATTAAAGAAAACACAAAAAGAGATAAAAAATTAAATAACAGTAAATGCATGTAATACTCATAATTGCTGAAGTAGAATCTTTATGAAGAGATAATTTATTTAAAAAAAAAATCTCAAAGCTTTCAGATTTTACATTATGCTCAAAGGGACTTTTTTTAACGTTTTGTTTGCTACCTTTATTTATTTAATGTCATGTTCTTTGCACTTAAACCATAAATTTCAGTTCAAGAGCAATATCGCAAAATATTTTTTAAACGAGCATATCTTTAGAATTTTCGATACATAGTCTCGCGCGCTGGAGATAATTTTTTTTTTTCGTACAGAGTTGCCATTCTTTGCTTTGTAATTGTTGAGTTTGTTACTAAAAATTCTTTAATGTCTGACAAAATGAAATAGATAAGATATAGTAACAATTTCCAAATTCCAAATTAGGGCTTCCAGATGTCCATATTCGGTGGAGGATTACGTTATTAAAACTTCGATGGCTCTATGTACCGTTGTTTTATCACAATGCGAGAAATATGCGTACATTTATACAGGTTCTTCATTGTTCAATTTCTTTAAATATAATACAAGGCTGTACTATTTGGTGACAACAGTTTGAAAAGTGAATCAACGTAGAAAGTGAATCTTACGCAAAATGTCAAAACGAAATTAATAGCCCTTCTGGCCTAACGTCCTTCTGGGCTAACGCCCTTTGGGCTAATAATGTAAAGAAATTTCAAAATCCATACCAATGATAAAGAGCAAGATTCAAAACTGATTAAGTCTGGAAACAAAATTTAACACACGTTTCGTTACATCTTCTACATCAGAAGTATGACTGTATTATTTGTATCGAATGCGAGGAATCGTATTTATTAATCCTGAAATGTGGGATAAACATAAAAGTAGAATAAAGTTATAACTAATTTATAATTAAAAGAAAAACTTATAACAAACTGATCCCTTTCAAATAAATAATGCTTGCAATCTGATAACGTAACTATGTTGAAATATATTTTCAGGAAAGTAATACATAATAAATAAATAATAATCTCGAAAAGGTAATAAAATTACGACAAATAATTTCGGAGGAATAATTTTGGACAAAACCTTGTGTAAAATAGCAAAGATTGTAACAAAAATTATAAAGCAGAAACATAAATGACCTGAAAATAATAAAAGTCGTCCGTAAATGGAGACACGTAGTATTTATCTTAGTATCGGGAATTAAAGTTACTATCAGAATGCACATTTAACAACTCAGTTAATTCTTTGTTTAATTGTCTTAAACATAAAATACTTTATATTATTAGTAAAAATAATATTGTTTGTGATTATATCTGCTTAATGAAGGAGTATTATTAATCTGTTATTACTTTGTATTTTTGGCCCTTTGTCTTTTAATTTTTATGTCTAAACAAAAATGTAACTCTTTAAAATTTTAAGTTACAAAAAATGCATGGGAAATTTGCCGTTTGCTTTTGTGATATTCTGTCTGAAGTTATAATGAAACGCCTTTTCTTTCCGAAAACACAATTACATTTTTCTCCCATTTTTGGAACCAAGTATTTACAAAACTTTTGGCAGAATTCCAATACATCGATAAACCTAATTAATCTAGCCTCGCTTTTGTTTGACTACAAGTTTGTTTTAATTCGCTGAAAGAAACGTTTCCTAACCTTATTATTGAAAGGTTATTTATCTACGTGTCTTTAAGTACAGTTGACGTGACGAGTAGAACATCAGTAAACGAGAAACTTTTATATCTTATATCTTTAAACGTCTACAACAATATACTAATTTTAGACGTCTGCTAACATCTACAATAATATAGTTATAGATGTCTATAAAAGCCTGCAACATATTTTAAATGTCGCTTTCTATATTTTAAGACATTTAAGTGCAAAACTGCAAAATAATTATTAATCGTGTATTAACCAACATGTTATCAAAGACGAAACAATTTGCCTTACAGAAGTAAAAGAAATTTAGCTAAGCTATAACATATTTATTTCTATAAAAGAAGAAATTTAGCTGAGATGTAACATATTTATTTCTATAAAATGTTTTTATTCTGCACAAAATAGAGGTAAGCATTTTTCAATAAGTAATTATCAATCACATTTACACAAAAAATTATGTCTATAAGATATAGAGATTTGGATTTGAAATTTAACTAAAACGCTTCTAACTGAAATTTCGAAGCATAATAAAAAAATTAAATTTTTAATTTGAGCAAGTATTTGTTTTCATCGAGAAATGTATATATATATATATCTATACGTAAAATATTTATCATAATAGTAGACTTAGAGGGAAAACATTTTTATTTTTTAAATAAAGTAGCTGTATGTTGTAATATATTTAAGAGGCTTTCATTAAATATATGTTATATATAACATATATTTAATGAAATATAACATGAATGTATGTCACATAAATTTACATATATTATATATACGATAACATATATTAATTTTACACATATACATACCCCATTACAGGAAGCAATGTGTTTATTGGCAGTTTTTTTTTTTAATGAGTTGTTTTCTGTTGGTGTGCACTTGGCCGACATATTCTTTGCCAATCCTAAGGTTAGAAGTGGTGGCCAGTTTATTTGTAGAGGCACTTAATAGGCGGCCACCGATACCTCCTATGAAGGGACAGGGAAAAGTGGACGAGCACCAGAACTTCATCAGTGACTACAGGTGTTGCTCCGCCGCACTACTGTAAACGCTGGTCGTTCAATTGGCCTGCATCAGTAGCAGCCCAACAAGACATTTACAAAGATAGTTTACGTTTATTCTAGACTTTAGTATTGAATATACGATTACAATAATACGGTATACAATTAATGAATGTATACCGGTATACACACATGAAGAAATTTTACATTGACAGATGAAAAATTGTATGGGAAAATTCATCAGAAAATAAAGTACATGAAAATTATCATAATTTCTAGCAAAATGACTATTTTTAACAGTACTGATTTAAACCAAATTCTTACTGGCCACGGGAGATTTCCCTATTATTTTAAGAGAGATTCAACTTACAAAATAATGAACTTTGTACTTCTTGTAATGCCATTGGAGATGCGAAACATTTTGTGGAGGACTGTCCTATTTTCGCAGTTTAAAGGAAGCTTTACAAAATTGATAATGCTATATATAATGATAATTTTGATATCAAGCCTTTTATATCTTTTGCACAAGATGTCCTTAAATTTACAAATGCAAATCGAGGTGTAATTGCAATTCAGATCTGATGTTGTCCTTTGTGTTAATTTCTGTTTGTATGTTCGTGAATGCTTGTTATATGTTTACTCCTATTTTTATTTTATATTTGAGTATTTATTTGTATCTTATTTTGTATTATGTATTATTTATTTTGTAATTGATGTTCTTTTGGGATCACTCTTTTTTTCTTTATCATGAGGCCACTTCGTGGCCAGAAGGGTCTGAGTGTACCCCCAATGTATTACAATGTATTACGGTATACAATTATTACAATGAACTTAATCGATATACAAAAGTTGTATTATGACAGATTAATATAACATAATTACATCAAACATACATTAGTACATCACACAAACAATATATTTACATTAGTATATCTAATTACATCAAACGTTTTTTAAGGAACTAATTATTGTAGAATATTTTGTGCATTTCCTAGTACATTGTCGTACTAGAAGATGCAGTTACAACTATGCCTTCTCTGAAGTTCGAACTCAGGCCCTTCGGCACCGCAATAGCTCCCCTAACTATACCATCAGGCCGACTGTTTATTGATTGTCAAATTTACACTTAAACCTTTATAACTAAAGGAGTTTTTTCTGTGCAATAATTAAATATATGATTTTTGACTTGATTTTCTCATACAATTTTTTACCTTGCATTGAGAAGTGACAATGCAAGGTATTGTAAAAATGCATTCGATTTATATTCTGTCCAAACGAAGTAGTGAAATGTTTTTTTTAAACTGTTTCAGTATCTTTATAACAGAGTATCAGTGTATGTTAAACGTATTAATTATTTTGTATCTTTCCGTGCAGAAAATGTAACGCACATAATTGAGTTATCTGAATGTTCTGCGTGTTTTTCTTCCTTGTTAGACCTTTTACCATTAAGTGGCTGCATTTCCATGTTTAGTACCACAAATTTGCTTTGCACTCCGAGGGTTGAGTCGGCGGACAAAGCAGAAGCGTGAAGTTATAAGATACTTCCGATAATGGGATTTTTGGCCGAAAATCAACTAACTCTATTGGATGGCTGCCCCATTATCGGTGGGAAAGAATAGCGAAGAATATCCTTCGTGTTTGCTTTTGTAGATTAAGACGGTGAATACTTGATTATCTGGATTTGATTTTTTTGCGGTATTTAATAAGTCATTTCTTTTAGGCTAAATATTTATTGAAATAGATACACCACTGAAACATTTGATGTAGAATTAAATGTTGCCAATTCCATTTACATTTAATATTATTATTTTGATTCTAGGATCGTTGATATTTTCATATATTTGATAATGGTATTTAATTATAAGAAAATTCTTTAGCTGAATATTATTAAAAACGTTATTAGTTATATTTTAGATAGAAGTACTTAATTCAAATAGAGAAATCCAACCGAATATGGGTAACTCTATTTTAATAGAGAGAGAAGAAAAAGCTTAAACCAATGTTTTCTAAACTGATTTGTATAGCTTAAATCTTGATTAGTGTTTTCTGAGTCAAAACTAGAAAATCTTACTATTTCATATTATGCAGTCATTGTTTTCTCAACATTTAACGATGATTATCACTTCTAGTTAGAAAAATGAACAAACAACCTTAAAAATTTAATTGCCGTATCTAACGTTTTCCATATTTAAGTTGTATTGCTGTTTCTACATGTTAATTTTCCTTTGTTCTTAAACACTCGTGGGATTCCACCCTTTTATATAACAACTAAATGTCGAGGAACCTAGTGAACTGCTAAGCGAATAATCGCTTAAGTTCAGGAACAGAGACCTAAACTCGAGAAGGGTTAATTACCCTTTATTGCTGAAAATAAGAGTTAACAGACGGTCCCTTTCTCAGGGCGTACAGCAAAGCTTCCACTTTGCTTGATCTCAAAATAATAAGACTTAACTAATGCTTAACTAAAGATATATAGCCGAAGCTATCAAAATTCTGAGTGGTTGGTTCCTAAATATCGAATAAGCTAGCGAAGCTATCAAGGGCCTGTAATGCGGCCGAGCGTAGTAACAGTTTAGAGAGACGTAGCCAAAAGGCAAACGCGTGCTAGACAGAAACTCTGAGGCTGTCTTTCGAAGTGAGCGGAACTTCGATTGAAATACTACTCTTATTCATTTGCATTAAAACCCGATACTAAAACTACATTCTGGTAAGAAATTATAAGCTGAAATTAGGATGGACAGGAAAGTAGTTTTGACTTGAATAATTGTTAAAATCTTAGGCTAAATCTCACACACTGCAGATATAATTTTAAAATCTCCTCAGTTTAAACTTTTTATATTCTTAGATTCCGTTTAGATTATCTAAATTACTGAGCTTAGAATAGTTTAATGTATGCTAACATTTTTTACTCAATTTAATATAAAATTCCTATAAAAATTGTTCAATCAACAGCACATTATCGTGTATTTTAGGATAGACGTGTAGCTTAGGATTCATATATCTTGGGTCCTTAGTCGGCTTATGATATACCGATCTGTTAAAAAGCATAAAGATGTGGAATGCAGAGCATATTTCATATTTCAAGTGTTTCAGCAACACAAATCAGCTACTACATGAGCAAAGATGCATATTTGAAAACAATAAATATTAATAATAAATGTTAAGTTACTTCTTGATGTAAGAGAAGTCTCCACGCTCTAGCAAACAGTTTTATAATTAATAAAATTTAAAATAATATAATAATTAAAATAAAATAATAATAAGAATAAATAAAAATAAAAATATACATATATATGAAGTGAAAGTTTTATAAGAATATTTCGTTCCTTTCCTGTTGAGTTTTTATTAATTAAAGTACACAGAATCCAATTTGAGCTTATATACAGACAGGTAATTGCATATTTTTATTATAAACTGCTGCTCTTCGTAATATACGAAGAAATTTATGTCTCAAATGGGAAGAAGAAGCCTTCCGATCCTTATTTCATTATTTAAATCATGTTTTTATTGAGTGAGATACAACAATTAAAAAGACAAAGGAAGACCGTTTTCACCCATTAAACATGTCCTATGTCTTTTATTGAATATGTGATGATATTTATTGAACGCCTCAATAGTAATCAAATCTTACCTATAAGTTTATCCTTTTAATGATACCTATAAATTTTAAGTGAATGGAATAATCCTACTCATCAATTAGCACTTGACAGATATTTTCGAGGGGATACTTAGAACGTGCACAGTTTTGTACGGTGACCTTTGATATACTATTTTCAGTGAAAAATCTCATAAATAACTAATGATCTGTTTTCTTAGGTTTCTAAACATGGACAATTCTCAAGTGGCGCTGCATATCTGTTAGATGACCTATGTTCACAGCTTCCGGATGGTGCTTACCCGGACTACAATCAAGCTTGTCGTGTATTCTTCATTTGCTCGGGCGGAAGAAGAGCTGCAACATTCTGGTGCACAAAGGGTTTTGTTTTCAGCCTGGCTGCCGGACACTGTGAACCACCCGATAAAGCTCTTTGCCCTGACCCGAAAAACCCGTCAGTTCTCGATGAGATTCTTCATCCACACGGCGAGATTGTATCGGATCAATGCCTTCAAGGAGATGGCGTCTATCCAAATTTCGTGGATGGCTGTTCTTCATTTTTCATCTGTAGAGGTGAGAGATTTATGTTATTAATAGTCTTTTATTTGCAAGCTTTATTTACCTTTCTGTATTTTAACGTATTAAGGTATCCGACTACGTTCGGAACATCACTAAGACATCACTTCAAAAAGTGTTTAAATTCTATTAGCCAAATTTGAAGAACTAAATAATATTGATCTTTTAAATTTTTGCGTATTATTGTAGCATAAATGTATATTAAAATTCATTTTACCTCTCTGTCACTTACATTTGCTTGAAGACGCATAAGAAATCCAATTTGATTAATTAATAATAGCTGATAAAATTTAATAAAACTTTCTGTTAAAAATTACGTAGCCATCAGGAATTCCTAAAATGAAGGAATTAAGTTTGCTGTTGTGATGCATTTGTAAATCACGCTTAATATATAAGTTTGTATGTGATGCATAATGTTACTATAAACTATTAATTAGATAATATAACTATTAATTAAGTAAAACATAGAATGAAGAATATTTCTTATTGAGCTTACAGAACAATATATATATATATAACCCCAAGTAGGAAAAAACTGCCGAGCCCAAACAAATGCAAAAGAGCCGATATCAGCTGGACATGCTTTGAGAAACATTAAAGGCGATATAATCACTTGCATACAAACATTATTTCAGAAATGAACCTGTTATAAATATAAATATATATATATACGTATATATATAGTAGGTGTGCACATACATATAAATGTACCGTGTCCTTATATGAAAGATAACTAATAATTTTAATTTGACACTATTCCTTTTTATTCCTCATTTTAATGTGGCTACTTCCACTTCATATGCTAATGAATCTAAAGTGTGTCATCTCAAAATTAATATTTCATACCATTTTACGTAAGCGTGACAATGTGAATATTTTTTATCCAATCACAAATAAAAATTTCAGCAAAGAACAGACTTTATATAGTACGTATTCACTGCTGCTAAATGCGCCTTAATTTTTCAAATACGAAAGAAAACTTTAACGTGACAAAAAATTCCTTAAATTCTTCATTTTAATTTGGTTACTTCTACTTGCTTAATAATAATAATTTTATCTTCTTGCTTAATAATGTATATAAACTAAATATATATGCTTAATAATGTATCATCTTAAAATTAATCTAATGCCATGTTATGTAAGCGTAGCTATGCGCATATTGTTTATCCAATCAGAGATCAAAATTTCACCAAAGAACTGACTCTATAAATATCGCTGATTCTAAGTGCGCATTTACTTTCTGCCTTCCTTTTCTCTACCAGCACGTGTTACTTGTCACACTGTCTCGTCATTGTCTAAAGATATCATAAGTAATGTAAAATTCTGGGATGCTTCTCGCACCCATAATGATGTGTGATTGAGTATATGGTAGTTGTCATCAGTCACGGCTGCCATCTTACTCTATTACGCAAAACGTAAAATGCGCGTACGAATACATACATATATAAACAATACATATTCAGAATTTTAAGCAAAATTATTGGTGTCATTGATTTTATAACGTTCCTAAAACAAGATTCGAATAAAGCATTTTAAATGGAATAGCTGGAAAAAAAATTCAGTTATGAAGCTCTTTATCAAAATCCCGTTTTTTATCAAAATAAAAATCGCGTTAAAGAGTTATTATCGTGTAATATTGTATAAGACAATATTAAAAAGTAGTTCTGTATAGTTTCTCTCCCATCTCAAAAGCGCGACATAGGATATAGCATTGTTATGACATTGATATTTTGACCCAAAAACATACTTTTTCTGAAAAATCATACCCTTGCTTTTAAAATAAATAGGAAAAAAAAAAAAAAAAAAAAAAAAAAAAGAGAGAGAGAGAGAGAGAGAAAAAAAAAAAAAAAGAAAAAGAAAATCTGAAAGGTTTCAAATTTTAGATTACGTCCAAACGGGCGTTTTTTTAACGTTTTGTGTGCTACCTTTATTTATTAAATATCATGTTCTTTGCACTTAAACCATAAAATTCAGTTCAATAATAATGTCGCAAAATAATTTTAAAATGAGCATATCTTTAGAATTTGCGATACACATTTCCGCGCGCTGGAGATAAAAAGGTTTTTCTATACAACGTTGCCATTGCTCGCTTTGAAATTCTTGAGTTCGTTAATCAAAAATTCGGTTTACAAAATTAAAGTTTTACAAAATGTGAAATCTATAATAAAGCAAATTTCAAATTCCTTTACTAGAGCTCATATTCGGTGGAAGATTACGTTGTTCAAAATTTGATGGCTTTAGGTACCGCCATCAAATTTTATCACAATGCTAGAAATATATACATTTATGCATTTTCTTCATTATTTCATTTCTTTAAATATTACACATGGCGATAATATTTGGTGGCAACAATTTGAAAAGGGAATTAACGTTTATAGTGAATTAAAGTATGGTGCCAAACCGAAATTAATAGCCCTTCTTGCCCCTTTTAAATAATAATTTAAACCTTTGTTTTAAAAATGATAGATTTATTTTATAGAAATTATATAACGTATGCTTTATACAAAGTGCATTGTAAAAATATCTCAGCAGTAACCATAATTTTTAATTAAGCATTCTCATAATTTCTGAATGACAATGAGAGTAATATAACATGTCAGTTATGTTATTTTTTCTTAAATTCAAATTACCATTTTCTAGCATTGCTAAGCTTTTTGAAAGGAGCACTTTGTTTCGGACATTTGCTTCTCATCTGGGGTGGTTAGATAATTTAAGCTAAAGTACATTTTCATTTGAAAAAAAGAACGGATTTGATAATGCAGATAGGATTGTCGAGATAAGGTGCTATAAATAATGAATTAAACAAAGCAGTATTTGCCGAATAAAGAGTAAGAGAAAAATGCTTAGTGTCTGTATGTAACATGAAGTGGAAGTTCCATTATATTCCAAAGAATTGAATACAGTTAAAAAAAGCTGTGTATTAAAAATGATAAAGTACAATAGAAATGAAAACAAATGCTGCAAAATGTTCATTATGAAGTTCTGGTATTATGCTTGTATGAATAATAGGAATAAATGAGAATTACATTGTTTCGAGTATTTCCATGTTTGCAAAAATGAATAAACAATAATTTTATATTTTTACATTTTTGCTGAACGTTATACTTTTTATGTCCAAATGTTTTGAATTTAAGACTTATGAGAATCTTGATGCAGCCTGTTCAGTTTTAAAAAATGTTTATGCCTTACTTTACCTTTTTCTATAGATGGCGCTGCCCGTGCGCCAGATGTTTAATTCGTAATATATTTTTTTAATTTTGCCGTGTTTTGTAGCAAGAGAATAAATAAAACCAAACGACTAGTATTCGATGCTAAGAAAGAATGAACTCGTGTAAACAATTCTAACAGCTAAAAAAATCGAAATCTTATTCAATTCTTTGACTCTTTTTACTGTGTGAAATTCAAGTATTTCCAGGTAACTAACTATAAGTCGATGAAAATTCAAGGTAAGCTATTTAATAATTATTAATTATTGAACTTACCAGCAAGCACACGGTTTATTGTCTAAAAATAAAAATACAAATTATTAACTATTTACTTAATTAACGATTTTATTTATTTTTTTGCACAAATTATTGGCACTTTCAGTTTCCACAAAATCTACATGAAAATTAAGTTTGTGCATTCCACAATTGAGTGAATTTGAGAAAAATTGTGTTGGAAGTTGAGTTGAATGAGTAATTTTCCTCGCCTAGTAAGACTCATAACATCATATTATACGCAATATTATACTTTAATTTTTAATAAATTTCTGTTCTTGTTAAAATTCTGAAAAAAAAAAAAAAAAAAAAAAAAAAAGGAAATAAGTTAATTTGATGTACTCCGCTCGTGTCCCTTTTTCACTGAAAGCAACCTAACTAGAAATTACACTAAGTAGCCCAGAAGGTAAAGCCGCTTTCACTAGTTATTACATTCTAGGTTACTTCTGTGGTACGTACTCTCTGCATTCTTCAATTTGTTTGATTTCATATGTGAAGTAAATACCCACCATACTGTTACGAATTTTGCACATAGATAGATGATTATAGTGCAGTCATTTGTGAAACTTTTGTATTTTGCTGTGCAATCTAACATGAAAAATCTAAAGAGATGAGCTATGCCACAAAAGTAAGAATATAAGGGCAAATCTCTTTAACTCTGAGTAAATGCGTATCTCGGTAATTTGGCGAGATATCGCCAAGCTGCCAACGGTATTGACGACTTATTTTGTTGCCACATTTGGCGAGAAATCGTCAAACTTGGAGACATTATGGTCCTGTCCGTGTATCACCGTACGTATTGGAACTGAATAAATGAAACTGATCATTGTGTTAACTGTAACCGTAACTCAACTCTCATTTTGTTTTCTAGTAATTTCGAGAAACAGAAAGTGCTAGAAATATCTCGACGGTTGGTTGAAAACCATATATAAAGCATCAGAAAGAACATCTGCATTATTGCTGGTACTCATGCTAGTTGTTAGTTCAGCGTTGAGATAGGATATATTTCGGGGTTTCTCTTTAGAGGCGCTTTGCATTGCTTTGTGTTTAACGTTACGTTCTTAGTAGTTTGAAGGCAACTACTGATTGTACTTTGCGACACTATAGGATCACACTCTCTTTGGTCACATAAACTCTACGAGATTCTACTAAGGAACCTGGCGACTTCTTGCACAGGCTTTAACACAGAAGAAGTGTCAAAAATAAGCACTTTATTATTGTCAACTATGAACAGAAAAACACGTACTTCGTGCTTTACAATAATACCTGAAATCCTGAAATCCGCTGAGTTGGCTTCCGTCCCAGAGTATTACATAATCCATACAGACTTGGTTAACAACTCAGCAGTTAAAGGTCCTTGAAGATATTAAAGTACTGTGTTTCTTAGAAAGACGAATCTCTTACCCATCGTACATAATACATGCATACTTACTAATACATAATACAAATATAAAATATAGATTCAAATATGTGGAGCAATTACATAATACAAATACACAGCACATTCTTGAATAAATG